CGCTGCGGCGGCGGCCACGTAGCGCTGCGGCGGCGGCGGCCCCCGCCGGGGGGAAGGAGGGGGAGGGGGGGGGGGCGCGGGGGAAAGGACGAAACAGGCTGACGGACACTCGTGACACCCCCCTCCTACGGCCGAGGGCAGCGGGCGGGCGCCCGTGGCGGCGTCGGCGCGAGGGTGAGTGTTCACGGGCGGGGACGCGGGGGACACGCGCGCACGGGCCGGCCGCGGGCTGAGGGGAGCGGGAGCGCGCACGGCGGGGGGGTCACACACACACACACACACGGGAGCCGGGGGGCGGCGCTGTGCGCATGCGCCGCCGGGGGCCGTTACGGCGCTCCCGCCCCTTTTCCCGCCGCGGCTTCACCTGCGGGGCGCAGGTGAGGCGCGGGGGGAGTGCGCAGTGCGCATGCGCAGGAGCGTGAGGGGCTGAGAGGGGGCCCTTACCCCGCGCGAGTAATTAGCGAGCGCACCCTAATTATGGCGCTCAGGTGAGCCGGGGGCTGTGAGGTGAGGGGAGAGTGCGGTGGCGGGGGGGGGGGCACCGACTCCCCTCAGCGCCGCCCGCCCGTTACTTCGCGCGGGTAATTAGCGAGCCCGCCTAATTACCTGAGTCAGGTGAGCCGGGCAGGCTGCGGCCGCGCTGCGGTAACCCCGGCCCACGCCGGGCTCCGGGGAGGGGCCGGGCCGGTGCCCTCAGGGACGGCCCTTGGCTCGGGGGTGCCCTGTGGGGTCACAGCGCTGCCCCTCGGGAGCCGGGTCAGACCCCAAAGCCTCCCGCCGAGCCCCCATCTGACCCACGGTATCCACAGGAGTCTGTCCCAGCTGTTCTTGTGCCAAACCCCAGCTCCCGCTCCTTCAAACCTCCCTCTCGCCTCTGAAACACCAATAACTATTTAACTCCAGCCTGCGGTTTCGTGATTGCACCCTGATGGATGAGGGAGATGTGACAAGAAGGAACACCCCCTGCAGCCGGCCGGTGACCGCTGTGGGGCTCGGGGCGTGGGGGGGATTCGGGGCCGCTGCTCCCCGGGCTGGCACAGCCTTTCCCAGCCGTGCCACCTCTCCCGGGAGGCTGCAGAGCCCCATCCCCAGCCCCAAAACCGCTGTGTAGGAGGGGACAGCGCTGCTGTGGTTTGGGTTTGGCAGCGGTAAAAGGAATTAGTGAGAGCAGCACAAACGGGGAGAGGGGGAAGGGCACCGGCCCCTTTGGCTGTGTTGCTGTTTCCCAGGGACTTAGGGATCCCTCTGGCCGCTCAGGTTTGTGTTCCTGCTCTAGTCTCCTTTTCTAAATCCTTTAGTCCACAATCTCTTCTCTACATGTGGTTTGCTTCCTTGCCTGCTGCAAATGCCCTCCCTCCCCAACAGTGTAGGGCACTTGATTGGAGGTTCTGCCAAAAAATCTCTGTGCCCTCACTCCCCTGCAGTTCAACATTACACACCAGAGTGTTTTATTTACTCTGGATTATTGAGCATAAACCTCAGATCTGAGCTCCCATGGGAGCTGTTACTGCCTGACCTGGCTCAGAGCAGGCCCCAGGCTGTCCCAGTCTCTGCTGGGACCTGGGAAGAGCTTGGGTTTGGAGTGCATGGACACTGCTCCATCCTTACCCAACACCTTTGAGCAGTGCAGCTTCTTCAGGAAAAACAGGCAGGGAATTTCAGGAGATGTGGTGCTGCTGTTGGATAACTGTGGATGTAAAGGATGCCGTGTAGTACAATTTCCTGCCTTGGAAAGAAAAGGAAGAAGAGTGAGTGGGACCTTTTTCTTGGAAGGTGAATGTACAAATCAGCAGTGACAGACCCCTCTTTCAAATGTGGGGTTCCAGCAGAGGGACCTGGGAAGCAGCAGGTGCTTGTGTCCAAAGGAGCACAGATGAGGAATAAACTGTTCAACAGCCACAAAGGCAGCCACAGACAAATATCCTTGGACTCCTGGCATGAGGAAACCAAACTGGTCCTCCCATCCCTGCCTGTGTCCCAGCAGTGTCCGTGGTGGCCCAGGGAAGGGACAGCTGGAGGGACAGAGGACTGGTTTGGCTGCCCCGGGCCCCAGCAGGGCACGCTCTCCTCCCTGGCTGGGGTGCTAATGGGGGTGACAGCTCCTCGTGCTGTTCCCAGGGAGGGATCCAGCTGTGCTGCTCAGCCCTGTTCCCACAGGGAAGCCTGTTCCAGCTCCTTCCAGCCCTCCCTTTGATCTGGGTTTGACGTGAGGAGACATGTCAGGCAGGTAGAGGGAAGCAAACACAAAGCTGGCACAGGAGCTCTGAGCAGGGCTCTGAGCACACACCTGCCTCGAGCCACAGATCCTTATCAGGCCCCATTTCCTTTCTCTCCACGCTGCTCTGGAGCTGCTCTGGAGCTTCTCGAGGCAGCTCTGCAGCTCCTGCCCTGCTCAGCCACGTGCTGTGCTGCCGTGCCCCTCTCCCTGGCATTTCCCTTCTCTCCAGGCAGAACCAGGGTGGGAAATGCCCTCCTGTGCCCCGGGGACAGGGGATGCAGAGCTGCAGTTCCTCCCTGAGCTGCTGCAGCGTCCCAGCTGTTTGCAGGAGCAGCAGCAGTGGGTGACAGGGTCCCTCCCTCAGAACCAGGGGGTTTTGGCTGAGCAGCTTAGGAGCTTTGAGGGTGAAAAGCAAAACAAAAGTTGGAGAATGTGCTGGGCCAGGGCAGCAGACGCAGCAGAACACGGTGTCACCCACCTGTGGGTGTTGGAGAGCACTGGATGTTCTGGACCTGCTGAGGGAGCAAATGTAACAAGAGTATTGTTGAGATGCAGCGAACTCTGTCCCGGGGGTCACCTCTGCACCAGCTGCAGGATGGTGTGGGGAGGAGAAAACCAAACAGAGGTGAACTCCTGCCTTTGGCAGCTGCTGGTTTTCCTGTGCTGTGGGCAGGCTCCTCGGGTTTTCCCAGCTGGGCCATCTGCTCTGGTTGTTTTACACGGCTCTCAGGGCTGGAATCCCCTGGTGGGAGAGACCCTGCCCAGCCCTGCAGCCCCACGGGAGCTGTGCTGCTCGGAGGGGGCCCAGGTTACAGAGCTCTTGGCTTTACCCAGGCACTGGTGGATGTGCTTCATCCGGACTCCTGCTGGGAGCATTCCTGGGAAGCTCATCAGCCCTCTGTCTTCCCACAGCCACCGGGAGACAGGGCTGCCCTCCTGCTGTCCCACCTGCCTCCTCTGTGGTGGGAGGTGACTCGTGGTGTGTCAGGGCTGGCCCTGGGCAGGGCCCTGGGGAGCAGCACCCACCCTTCCCCCGTGCCTGGGGCTGTGCTGAGGCCTCCACGTCGTGACACTTGTGCTTTAGGGACAGCCTGAGCCAGGCCCGACGTGGCACTTGTGGAAATGCAGCTGGGACAATTTCTTCTTCCCCAAGGGAGCTTGGGGTGCTGCTCAAGAGCCCTGGAGAGAACAGGCCCTGCCCTGCTGGGAAAACAATCCAAGGGTGGGCAGAGGAAGCGAGGCACAGACAGGGTGCTGACACCTCCCTGCCTGGGGCTGGACCCGACCCTCAGACTAACACTTTATCTTTTAGATATCCTGCTCTGTCCTACAGGGTTCAGGATCCTCTGAAGCAATGGGAAAGGAAGCAAAAGGAAAACAAAGGGGTTTTCCTGCTAGCTTTGGTCACAGGAAGCCCTGTGCTGTGTGAGGGAACCACCAGCCCCGAGAGCTGAGGCGCTGGGCTCTGAGGCCGGCTCAGGGCAAAGCAGAAGTTCAGGCAGAGGAAATTCCCATTCCCATTCTCCTCCTTTCTTAGTTCAGTGTAAAGCCACAATTAAAGATTAATTGCCCCCAAGTAACATAGCAGAGCTCACACCCACCAGCATCTCCTTGTGCCCCAGATCAGACCTCTGGGGCAGCTCCCTGTGGGGGTTATTAACTGTCTTTGGGGTCCTGGGGTAGCATGACTGTGCTGTGAGAACCATCAGCCTCTGCACAAAAACCATGCCACCAAAACAAATAAAACTTCTCTTTGGGTGGCCTTGGTTTTGTGCTTTTTGGTTTTTTAAAAAAGGAAGATACAGACTGTGGGATCCAGCAGTTGGCCAAGAGCAGGATGGGAGTGAGGGAGGCTCAGAGAACCAGGGGATTTTACTCTTGGTTGGTTGTTTAATCAGCTTTGGTGTTGTGCTGTAATCTCTCAGGTGTCACATAAAGGAAGTTCTAGAGTTTGTGCTGGAGTAATTATTCACTGGAGATGTCCCCAGAGGAGGCTGTTGGACACCTCTGCTCCCCTCACCATCACCCCGACAAAGCAGTGCAAGAAGGGTCCCTGTGCCTTTGCTGGGGAGGAACAAACTGGTTTGACTGGAGTCCTTCCCTGCACACCTGGGCTTCCAGCTGCCTCTGAGCCTCCCACTGGCTCAGGCAGGACGTGCTGGGCTGGAGTCAGCTCAGGCCTGATGGAAAACAGGCACACGAGGAACGTCCCAGCCCCAGTGCCAGGCGAGGAACAGTGAAACCAAATTTGGCCCTGAGGATTGCTGCCCTTCTCCCAGCTGAGTTGAGCTCCAGCCTGGCTGGGGACATTATTTCCTCCTCGCTTCTCCAAGTGCTTCCTCCCCCCACACCCTCTGTTTTTCAGGACAGGCATTTTCTGCTGGATCCCCTCGGATATGAACAGCACCACGGAAGCAATGAGGGAACTCCTCCCCACCTCTTGCTCTGCCCACTTCAGACACGCTGCCAGTTTGCTGCCAGTTTGCTGCAGGGCACGAGGGACCTCCCTTACCTGGGGAGCCCAGGTGCTGCAGGAGTGTCCAGGTGCCTGTTCCAGATTCCAGCCGAGCTGCACATCCCGACTGCTCCACAGACCCATCCATGTGGGGGCTTTCCACGTCCTCTTCCCAAGGCAGGTAGGCTGGTTATCTGTTAAACAGGGAAACAGCAGGCTCAGGAGAGGGGGAACACAGAGGAAATGAGGCAGTTTCCTGTTTGTTTATCCTGACCAAAAGCCTGTTGGGCTGCTCTGGCCCAGCTGCTCCAGAGCTCTCTCTGCCACTGGCATGTAAAGAAGAAGGAAGGAAAAGTCTCCCAGGAAGTAAAAAAACAGTCAGTGCTGCCATCAATCACTCTGAAGCCACAAGACTCCAGGGCTTTAGGTTAAAAACTGCCAGGCTTTTACCAACACTAGGCCCTCCAGCATGGATTTATCACAGTAATGGCCTGGACCCAAAAATTCAGGGCTGTCTTAACACCAAGCTAAACCAATTCACACCTCTGAGGCCATTCCCACACACTCCCGCTGTTCCTGTGCCCCCTGGAGCAGTACCATAAACACAGGGATGGTGGGAAAGGAGGAATGAATGCTCTGGGGGCTGCACAGCTGAGCCACCCTGGGAGCAGGGTTAGGGAGGGACAGGCATTTGCACCTTTCCATGTGCTGCCTTGGGCTGGAGGGGCTAAAACCTGGAGCTGGAGAGTGGAAAGGGCACCATAGGGTTACTGGACAGGCTGGCACAGGGACTGAACCCTCAGTGACACTGCCAGACAGCTCTTGTGCCAGCCTGGGCTCTTCCTTCCTCACCTGGAGCCTGGGTTTGCCCTTGTCCATGTCCTTGTCCCTGTCCTCTGCCCTGCCCGGGTGACCTCCAGCTCTGCTGTCCCCAGGGGAGCCCGAGGGACACCTCTGGTCCCCGTGACCCTCCCCAGGCAGATTTGCTGCTGCCACCTGGTGGGAACCAGCAGGGAAGGGCCTTGCTGCTCCTCTGCTTGTGTGACCTCTGCAAAAGGAGACCTCTTCCTGTCCTTCCTCCTGCCACCGTGAGCAGCACAGCCCCAGCCTCCATCACTCAACCACACAACACCCCCCAGCCCCGAGAGTCTGGTGCTAAATGTGACAATCTGTTGGAAAATCACGGAATCCCAGGAAAGTTCAGGCTGGAGGGAACCTCTGGAGATCATCCAGGCAGGGTCACCTACAAACCAGGTGGGAAATGGGAAGATCCAGGAGTACCTGGGTGAGGGATTAAAAGTTGTCAAATACACTAAATTCAAAGTGTTTTGTGCAAACAGGTGACAAAAATGAAGAAACACTGAGCAGAGAAAACACTGCCCTCCCCAGAGCAAAACCTGTAGTGTGGCTGCAGTCCCTGAGGAGCCCCCACACAGCAGAGAACTGGTAAAACTGCCCAAAGCAGGAAATTCTTCCATGCAGACAGTGGGAATCCAGCTGGGACAGCCAGGCCAGGGGCCACTGGCTTTTCTGGTCACAGGTTTCTCCACCTCCCCTCAGGGGGCACCGTTTGGGACAACACTCTGTCCCGGTGTCCTGTGCAGGGCCAGGAGTTGGACTCTGATCCTCATGAGTCTCTCCCAGCTCAGGATATTCCACGATTCCCATCTGGAGCCAGGTCTCTGAGCACCAATAAACACATTATAAACAAGGGGTTCATTGAACACACTCCAAACCAGGCCTAACACACCCCAAACAGCCCCAGTTCAGGAGCAGCTTTGAAGTGGGATGAGTTCGTGGCAGCTTTAGGCATTCAGGGAGGCAGGCACAGGGTCAAGGAGCAGCTTAATACACAGGGAACATTTGCAGAAGGAATTACACCCAAAAGCAAAGGAAAGAGTGATTAATCAGACCCAGGGGACACCGACAGAGCCTCAGACACCTCCTCCAGAGAGGCAACAGCAGGAAACACTCCACACTCCCCTGGAACCTCCGAACTGGAGGGAGAGGGAACGCAGAGCCCCGGGAGCTGAGCAGGGATTTCAGCCCCACTGCTCGGAGCCCAACACCTGGAGTGTGAAACTAAAGCAGGAAACGCTTTAAAAGGAGCCTTGGGAGAACAGTGGAAGCTTCCCCAGAAGTGTCTGAAGCAGTAAAGCAGAAGAATAAAGAACAAGAGCACCGAAGGGGGAAGAGATCTGGAAGTTATTTGGGAGTTCCGTACCCGATCCTCGGCTGCCTGAAACACTTTGCAAGCTCAGGCACCTCATCACTGCAGGAGCATTCCCTGCCCGGCAGTAAAGGCAGGAAAGGCTTTCCATGTCACCAGAAGTGAGGGCAACAAGTGCAAGGGGCTGAAAGGAGCCCACCATCCCCAGCAGGTTCCACAGGAACCCCCAGGGCAGCAGTGACACCCACCCGAGGCTGTTGCTGAGGGATAACAGATCCAACCCGCAGGATCAACAGGCTGGAACTGTGCAGGGAGAGCAGTAAAAGCCCTCACAGAAACAAGACACTCTTGTTAAAGGTATTACCTTGGTGCAGGAATTCAGTGTAAGACTCAATGTTCCAAGCTTCTAATTCCTCAGGATCAAGCCCCATTTACCTGTGCCAGGTGACTCTCATCCCCATAATCCAGCACGAGCAGGACGTGTCTTGCCCCACTGACCCAACCTTCGTCCTTCTGAGACAGCAGAAAATAAAGCAAGGACCCACACTGCCACCCTCGGGCCTGTGACATTTATTGAAGGCTGGTTACACAATCTCCCCCATCACATCTCCTCACAACTCGGCCTCCCGAAATAAAAAAGAGCGTTGATGTAACAGAATTCTGCCCACCCCTGACTGCCTGAGCCACAGAGCACCGAGTGACCCCTCCCTGTGCCAGGGCTGGCCTGGGGGAGCACCCCACGGGGCAGGAGGAACAGAGCAGGGGGCAGCAACAGGGGGAAGAGAGGTCCTGATTGCAGCAGGATTCCCTGCAGAGGAGCCACCTTCCCCTCCGTGCCTGGAATCCATGCACTGCACAGGGGGAATCTCCTCACCCAGCACGGAGCTGTGCCCCCAGCTGCCAGGGCTGTGCTTCCCACAGGCACAGCAGAGCCACTGCCCCAAGCTGAGGAGTCCTTTTGCTCTCAGGTGACCCTGGAAAAGGACTGGCTGGCTGGAGGGCGAGCCCTGTCCCACAGTCCAGGCCCTGCCAGGCCATAGCAGCCTGAAGGCACTGAGGCAGCCGAGAGCCCTGATGGGTCCGGCACAGGGAGTCACCCGGGCTACCTGCTCATCCCAGGGGGGAGCAGATGGGAAACTCTGCTCCCGGTGCTCAGACTGCCTGGAAAGGGGCAATTCTCAAACCTCGAGTGGTCGGTGAAGCCACAGCTCTGCCGCCCGTGGGAGGAAACGCAGCTCTGGTGTCAACGCGCGTTCGCTTTTATTGGATTACCAATTCGAAAGAGGGGTTGATTTCCGTTTCCTCTGCTTTTACCAACGAGGAAACCGCGATGATTTGGTTTTGGAGAGGGCTGAGCCGGCAGGGCGGAGGCCGCCGGGCTCACTGAGGCAGCTGGAGGAGCACGGACTGTCCGGAGGGCAGGTAGGTGATGTTGCGGGAGCGCGAGAGCTGGTACGCGATGTCCTCGGCCGC